GGTCCCTTCCAATCCCTAACGCTCTGGGATTTTGTGAAAATACAGAATTATTTACCACAGTGCATTTTAAAGAGCAAAACGTGGTGGTGGTAGACCAAGGGACATTGTCTAAGAAGGTCAGACAGTTTTCATCCATGCCAAGCTGTTGGTTTTAAGAGTCTGTACAGATGGAGCTAAGGATGCTCTTGCTTCATTAACGTTGCTAGACCAGCCTGGGTCAGATGTGTGTTAACACCATAAACTTGGCTAACATATTGTTTGCAACCGCTGCAGAAATACTGGCAGTCCCCAACCTGCCATTTTTGGGCTGTTTTAGTCCTGTGATGGATGAAGGGATCGGTGCAAGACGATGAGCATTGCCCACGCCAAAGGGCGTCCCGCTGCCTCCCCGATCACCCCCTATCCCCCCATCTCCCACCCCTTAAATTTGTATAGTTACAACTCAAGTTAAACTCTAACAAAGCCGCTTAATTCCGAGATCGTTAATGGGGAGGAGAGCCCATTGCCCCTCCGCAGTAATTTGAGCCTGAAAAGGAACGGGGGCTGTTGGGCCGCGCTCGAAATCCGGTGCGTGAATGGGGTCTGTGAAGCAAAATAATGGCATCAGCCCGCGTGCGAGTTAATGGGACATGATGGCACGAAGGCACAGGGGTCAGCGGGCCGTGGGCGCGTGATGGATTGTCAGGGAGCTTAATGCTGGGCACGGAGGGGGCTGGCTCGAATCAGAGCTCTGTGATTGAAATCCCGGGGTGGTTTTCTGTTCACTGATGTGGTAGGAGCTGAATGATGCTCAGGAAGAGGTTAATTCACCCTCTTTGGAGCTCTTTTGGGGCTGAGAGTTGCTGTCTTCCTTCTGGAGGCGTCATAAATCCAAGAGGCATCATAGATTAAAGAGATTTCTGGCAGTCTGCGTCCCTGCCATCATCCTTGAATGTAATTCCTAGAAAGAAGAGATGTTTCTCATTGCTCTGGAGTGAGTTTCAGTGGCTTTGTAGGAGGACACGTGTAGTTCATAGCAACTGTGAACCCGTGGGAGCATCAGCATCGCTGTCAAAGAATATTACGTAGCAGAGAGAACTGCTGGGTCAGTCATTCAAGCACGTCATGGGCATCCCCCGTGTCTCAACTCAGCACAAGTTGGCCTTTGAAAATGGGGTGCACCTCCATGCTGGAGGAGCCTGGGGACCTGCCAAGCTCAAGGTGGCTGAGTTGCAGTCGTCCATAGTGGCTCTTGGTGGTAGAAATGCACAAATCTTGAGTACACAGGGTCTTGGCTACTGGAAGGAGGATTTAACATTAAATTAGAGAGAGCAGGAAGTGTTGAGCTCCAATGGGAGCTGGTGGGTGGAGCGTTGGGTCACCAGCCTTTGCTGGAGCCTTCTTCTTGGTGGCACTTGACATCATTGAAGATGGGCTTTGGGGTTGGAGATGGACGTTGAGGTGGGAGATGGACGTTGGGGTGGGAGATGGACGTTGGGGTTGGAGATGGACGTTGGGGTTGGAGATGGACGTTGGGGTGGGAGATGGACATTGGGGTTGGAGATGGACATTGGGGTTGGAGATGGACGTTAGGGTTGCAGATGGACTTTGGGGTTGCAGATGGACATTGGGGTGGGAGATGGACGTTGGGGTGGGAGATGGACGTTGGGGTTGGGGATGGACGTTGGGGTTGGAGATGGACTTTGGGGTTGGAGATGGGCTTTGCATTGAGCGCTGTCTTTGGATCGAAGACAGTTTTGGGTCAAAGACAAGTTTTGGGTTGAACACAAGTCCAGTATTCAAAGCCGGTGGGCGGGAAGAGCCATGTGCTTCCCTCCATACCTGTCTTGTCCCAGATGGTCACAGCAAACCCTGACTCTTCTTCCGCTTGCCCCCGCAGATGCCAGTACGTCGCCCGATGCCGTGAAGAGGAGCCATTGGTGCAACGTGGCCTATTGGGAGCACCGGACGCGCGTCGGCCGCCTCTACACAGTGTACGAACAGTCTGTCAGTATCTTCTATGACCTACCTCAAGGAAACGGCTTCTGCCTCGGACAGCTAAACCTGGAAAACAGGAGCGAGACTGTGAGAAGGACTCGAAGTAAAATCGGCTACGGGATTTTACTTAGCAAAGAGCCGGACGGTGTGTGGGCCTACAACCGCAGCGAGCATCCCATCTTCGTCAACTCCCCGACACTGGACATCCCCAACTGTAGGACTTTGATAGTGCGCAAGGTGATGCCGGGCTACTCCATCAAGGTGTTTGACTACGAAAAGTCCTGCCTCTTGCAGCACACGGCCGAGCTGGATTACGCCGACGGGCCCTACGACCCGAACAGCGTGCGGATTAGCTTCGCCAAAGGCTGGGGGCCGTGTTACTCGAGACAGTTTATCACGTCGTGTCCTTGTTGGCTGGAGATCTTACTCAGTAACAATCGATAACGGTCGGCCTCTGCCGCAAGGAAAAAGGAGAAAATTTTAAAAAAAATAAAATAAAAAAGAAGACACAGACTATCCCAAATATCATCTACCTAGATTTAATATAAAGTTTTATATATTATATGAAAATATATATTATACTTGTAATTATGGAGTCATTTTTACAATGTAATTATTTATGTATGGTGCAATGTGTATATGGACAAAAACCAGAAAATGCACTTTGGCTTATATAATTCTTTCAATACAGATTTTTTTAAAAAAGAAAAATTATACAGCAAAAATAGGAGAAAGCCCTAATTTTGATGTATGGTTTTTTGAAATATTATTAATACCCAGACAAAAAGCTAATACCAGTCACTCATTGATAATAAAGTATTCGCATTATAGGGGGGGGGTTTAATTGTCTTTTTTCCCCCCACCCCGACTGAAGTCCGCAGCGGTGTCTGCTCAGGCACGCTGCAGTCAGGGGGGGTCCAGAGGGACAGCCGCTGTTTCCCATATTTCAGCTAGGACCATCAGAAAAATTAGATCTATATATATTTTAGTATAATATGTTACATGAGTTGCTGGAAGGCTGCAGTTGTCTCCAAGAGGAGGGCACATGAGGAGAGTTTGAGAGCCAGGGAGCAAACAGAGAAGGTGAGGAAAATCTCCTGTAAAATTGTGCTCAGGGCTCTGTGATTTCTCTGAGCGCACGAAACACGATGGGGACACGGTGAAGATGAGAGTCGATGTCCATGTTTGTGCAAATTAATGGGTATCAGAGCAAATTAATGGGTATCAGTGCTGGTGGGAAGAGCAGGATAGACCATGGCCCTGGTCTGAGTCTGGTATCTCCCAGACACCTTTGATGGCTGAGAAACAAGCGGTGGTTTTGGACAACTCACAGCTGGGTGGATCCTCAGTTGGAGACATCATAGCATGGCCTGAATTTCAGGAACCTCTCCAGTAACTCAAAATAAGGCAGAGGTGAGCTGGGTGAGTTGGGTGCAGGTTTGTCCTGTAGATTTGTTCAGGCAATAAACAGATACAGAATTATTTGGGAAGAATGTGTTTGCTCTGAGGAACAGTTGGACCCAGAAGTCCTGGTCAAAGGAGCTTGTCTTGGCTGACTTACTCTGAAAATTTTGGATAAAATCAGGCACTTTGCTGACTTCTCCATGAGCTGTAGCACCTGTGTGCTTGCATGGGCAGGTTGGACATTGCCTGGCTTCTCTTGGTTAGTAAAGTTACTTATTTAGTATTAAAAAGCCCTCCTGATACATGTCAGGGTCATTTTGGCAACTGAACTTGGTGTTCCTCCAGCAGCCAGGAGCGAGGATGGGGAAGGTGGGGACCACATCCCACCAGGAACACGCACAGACCTGGGGTGGACATCGGGGAGAGCCGCGGGCAGGGAATGTCGCAACGCTGCCGTTTCCGCAGTCGTTTTTTGAATTATAACCATACTTGATATTTAATTGGGACCACATTGGTCGAGTTCATGCAGCATCAGTATTAGTGCTTGACATCATTAATTTTTGTTTGTGTTACAGCCTTTGTTGTCAGGGAACGGTGTCAAAACATGTCACTATCGTTTAAAGCCGGCTTTCAAGAGCTTTGCAGGGTGTTTTTTTTATCCCCTTTGGCTTAGGTTCGGTGTGTCCTGCCATACCACCTACATCACTCGCTGTATCACTTTCACGCAGTCGGTCAAGAGGCCATTATTACGTTTTTGGGTGTTTTTTAAGAGGTTTTTGTTAATACCGACCTCATTTTAACTGGGAAGAACCAGCCAAAAGCTGAGTTGCTTCACCCTGTTTCCTTTTTTCTGCTTCTCTTTCCTGGCATTTCCCACCACCACCACACAGAAGGTTTTGCATTCACATCCTGAGCTGTCTTTCTCCTCCTCACATGCACACACAGATGCAGCAGTGCCATAATTTTCCACTTTCTGCCAGCTCCTTCCATAATTTGGACAAAACAGCCCCAAGGATGGAGACAGTTTGCTTTTATAGCACCCATGAAAGACCTCGTCCCAGTGCAGCCAAGCTGGTCAGACACCTTTCAGCTGTGTATTTTTGTGGGTTAAAATCTGAAGGTGAGCACTGATTGTGCTTAATTTTTATCTTTTTTATTAGTAGTACTTGTGTGCTTCCTCAGGAATAAATCTGGAACTTTATTTCCGTTGACAGCAAGGCTTTAAAGGGAATAAAAACGATTTTATGTTAAGGCAATGAAATAAGACATCAAGTATTCCTTTCCTGTCTCATTTCTCCCATTTAATACCTTCAATCGTTCAAACTTAAGACTCTTTTAAAGAGGCTTCCAAGCTATGAACTTCTCACTGGGCCCTCACAAAGCACAGCTGAAGCCTGCCCTGTGCTGGATTTGACGCCGGGGGCTGTAAATCAGCTCACGGGGTGGCTGTGGAAGGAGGGCCCTTCACACCAGGCCTCGCAGGAGCAGCTGGGCCTCGTTGGGTGTCGCTAACGCCCCAGGGGGCTCCCTGTGCCCACAGCCACAGCTGCCGCCATTTGCTCCTCTGCCCTGGCCCCTGTAGAGACAAAATGGCTGCTGCCTCTTGTCTTGTGGGTGGCTTCTTGGGATCAGTCAAGTGTGGGTCCTTCTTTGTCCTGAGATAATCGACCCAAGGTGAGTAGCGTGGTTTCTTTACCTGTTTTTGTGAAGTTTGTGTGGGGTTACACCTTTTATGCACAGAAACTAAAGTTTCTTGGTAGGAGGAGGTGAGGGGTAGGCTGGGTCTGGCCCAAGCCCCTGCTGCTGGGGTGCTGTGGGGTTTTGTGCCATCGCTGGTGCTGGTTATTTTTTTTCCTGTGGAGTTTGTTGGTGATTGCATTATCAGAGTGCTTTTTTTTGGAGGACTTTGTTTGGCAGAGTGTCTGGGAAGTGCTTTTTTTTCCTGTATTAGTGCTGGGACCTCTACTGTGGTGAACTCCAAGCTGAAGGAGCTGGATATGGCACCCCTCAGTAGCATAGCAAGTTCACTGTAGCCCTGCATAGTCAGAGGGGACACAGAGGCAGCAAATCCTCAAGCAAACACCTTCTCCCTGTGCTGAAGGGCTTTGGCCATGCACTGCCCTTGGAGCTTGCTCCAAATCACATTATTTCGATGAAGAGGTCTGGTTTTCCTGTAGGATGGGGGTGTTTGCATGGTTTTGGTGCCTCAGCTGATTCTAAGCTGGTGAGTCTCACCCCTCCAAGGCAGTGACTGCTCAGGTGGAGCTTCCCCACATCACAGCCCTCAGATTTCCTTGTCAATGAGGAGATCTTGATCCTGCAGAAGAGCCCAACAGGAATGATCTGACTCACCCTGGGTGCTTTATGGATCATCTGCGGAGGTGGTAGGACTTGGAGGTGTTCTCAGGTGTTGAAACTTGCTGGACACCCTCACTTGAGAGTGCCCAAGCATCAGCTGCTTCCTTGTGGTGTTAGGGGTGCAACCAGAAGGATAAAGGCTGTGGTGTGTTCATAGCTTCCCTGTGCCACATACACCCAGTGGAAGTCCTGAGTTAGCGTTTGTCCTAATTTTGAACCCGAATCTTTGTGGGGTTTGATTTGTGGAGTGTGTTTATTTGGCGAGATCCTCTAAACTTGAGTAATACTGCATTTTAAAGCTGTCTGTGCAATAGTTCCCCAATAGCTGCTGCTGGTCGCTCCCAGAGGCAGCTGCTCCTCCTGCAAGACGATGTTCATCATCCCTGTCCTTGATGCTCACTGCTATTATAAGTGAGAAATACCTTCTCCTAGCCAGAACAGGCAAGAAATGAATGCTAAGAGGAGCTGCAGTCAGCTCCTCTTAAGAAGAGAGGCTGAGATCCCTTTGTGGCACAGGTTTTGGCACAGCTCTACAGGGACTGTCAGCTTTTGGACCATAATCCTTATTCTCAGGGTTTTATCTCCGCGGTAAATATGCGGGGGACTTGTTCAATGCATAATTAAAAGCTGAATATTGCCCCCCACGCGTAGGCTGGTGAGGAAAACTAGGAAAACAGCCCGCTGTTGGTGCGGAGGAAGGAGCTGGCGGCTTGGCTCAGTGTCCAGTGCTTCATGGTCTTTAAGTAATGGAACTTCTCCAGCTCCGCCTTTGGGGTGTGAATTGGGGATTTTAACAGCAGAAGAGTTGCTGAAGTGTTTGTATGTGTACCCACGCTTTCCCAAATCTTCAGTGGATCCTTTCTGCCTGCTCTGGGGTCGTAGCTGTGGAGCTGTGCTGGAGGGTGAGCGCGATCCCAGTGCTTTTACCCCATCGTGTCCCTCACCTGAGCTTTTTGGGGCAGGAGCTGCCCTGTGGGTGAACACAGAGCTGCTCTGACATGGCCAACATCAACCACAACCTCTACAGCAAGCAAAAATAAAGATTATCTCCATTGGCCCTCATTGGAGGTGGACTGGGTCACCCAGTGTGGCAGGTCCCAGGGCAAGAGGTGTCCTGGGGGTGACAGGGCATGGCAATGGGGTCTGCAGCATCGCTCGGTGCTGGGTGACATCTGGGGCTGGTCCCAGCACTGGTGCCCCCAAACCGGGCCCAGGAGGCTGCGGTGCCATGGTTGACTGCAGAGCATCCAGTTATTTCCTGTAAATAACTATTTTTGGCCTTCCTCAGAGGTCTGGTTTTCCGTTCGGTGTGTGATGATGCAGCGTCGCTCGCTGCTTTGTGGAGAATCCTTTCTAGATTCCAAATTTATGTGCTGCTGCCATGCACAAAGTGGCATCTGTGCTATATACGCTGTGGGAACGGCCCAAAATTGCCCAGAAACTCGACTGGCTTACAATTATATTGGATTGTATTAAATTAAAACACATAGCACATATATTACACAATAAACCACAGCTATTTCATGGATCAAATTAAGTTTTATTTGGGCAAATTACAACCTTTCTTACAGTTGGGCCTTTGTGAAACCATTCCTTTTTAATAAAAGCAGGCATTTTTGGCGAACGCTCTTAAAGTGTGCATTCCCAGTAATCACATATACTGCAGCTATTCTTTTTGGGATCTATGTGGCTAATTGTCTTCTCCTATTTAGGATAGGTTCACATGAGCGGTATCTTCCCGTTCCTCCTCCCCCACGCCTCCCT